TTTCTTTCTTTCTTTCTTTCTTTCTTTCTTTCTTTCTTTCTTTCTTTTCTTTCTTTCTTTCTTTTTTTCTTTCTTTCCTTTCTCTCTTTCTTTCTCTCATTCTTTCTCTCTCACTCTCTTTCTTTCTTTCCCTTCTTTCTTTGGTTCTTTCTCTCTCTTTCTCCTCCTTTCTTTTTTTCTCTCTCTTTTTTCACTCAACGGACCCAGTTTTTCCAACCTGAAGCCTGGAAACATGAAAAAGTCTGAGAGAGAAAAACCCTGCTGCTGCAAATGCATATATCCCCGATGTGGCTCGATACACATACTTTGCTCATCCATTCTCATTGGAAACATACCTGTCTCAGGTAACCTGGCTGAATCACCTGTCCACTTTATCTCCTTCTCACAGGCTCCAATCTGCCTGCAAAGTCCGGTTGATGGTCTACCAACTCCAGAACTGATGAGTTACTATGACGAGGAAGTCGCCAGACTGCAACATGCGGAGGAGGGGTGCCTGTGTTCGATCCGGGAGACTCATTTTAGCCACACCGAGTATCACAATAATGGTAGGCCCAGCATCTTATTCACACCAACTGGATTGAGTCAAATGGAAGCAGAGGTGGAATTCAGCCGGTTCTGACTAGTTCTGTAGAACCGGTAGCGGAAATTTTGAGTAGTTTGGAGAACCGGCCAATACCACCTCTGACTGACCCTGCCAACCCCATCTATGCTCCGCCTCCTGAGTCCCAGCTGATTGGCTGGGTCTTCTTTGGTTGCCTTGCACAGGAGAACGGAGCTGTAAAGCAGGTTAGTGGGGTGGGGAGGGAAGGGGGATTTGACGGTATCCCTGCTACGCCCACCAAGCCACGCCCACAGAACCGGTAGTAAAAATATTTGAATCCCACCACTGAATTTACATAATAATGAGATTAGTTTGTATAACAATGTGTATAATAATGATGATGCAGTACTGTTAAAATTAAGATTAACATGTTTTAAAGCTGGAAAATAACAATAAATATTATTGGCAGGGGGAAAGGTTTTAGGGAATTGCTGAGCAAGTCAAATTGGTTATAATCTAGAGTTTAGATCGTGGATGTCTGAACTTTTGGCTTGTCTGGGCTGCACTGAGCCAAGAGGAATTGGGCCGCATACAAAAGATCAAATATAGGCAATGTATTCAAATAACAAACTTTCTTTATTTTTAAATATTTTTTTATTATGAGGGCCCACATTCCTTGGTGTCCAGGGCCACATGCAGGCCAGAGGCTGCACATGCCTAGTTTAGATATTGCAATATCCTAAAGCGATCCAAAAATCTGCAAAGCGATATTTAACAGTTAGAGAGACAATAACACAGGGCTGATTATTCGGCCCCCAAGTTCACTCATTCTGGAAGAATTATGTCAGGGAACAAAACCTAGCAATTTAAGTGTCACTAAACTGGTTGCTTGCAGAGCCAGCAAAGGAAGATATAATGAAGAACGGAAGAGAGAAAACATTTAAGATATTATGCTAATAAAGAAAATAACTACTGTGCATGTAATCCAGTTTTAAAAGCATATGTTAATTATCTCCCCACAAACAGGAACTATTGCAAACGTTAGAACTGTTACTAAACTTTGCTTAAGGTTAAAAGCGCTCTGCAGGGGAAGTTTAACATTTGCAACAAATAAACATAAATTCGTTTCAAAGCACTCATCAGGCACTCCCTGACTTTCAATCACCTGTTTAGCAAGTGTTCAGAGCTGAAAAAAAACTGACTTACAACTGGTCCTCACACTTATGACTGTTGCAGCATGCCTCAAATTGTCATACAAACCAAACCAATATCTACGTTTATATATCTTTATATACATTTATATATTTTTATCTGTAACTTTCTTATTTCCTTTTATCTTTGTTTCTTTTACCCAACCAATTATCCCAAATTTCATAATACTCTGACTCCTCTTTCTCTTTTAGTTTTAAGGTCAATTTATCCATTTCAGCACAATCTAGAATTTTTCAAATTATTAATTCCTCTGAAGGTATATTATTTGTTTCCAACATTGTGTGTATACTATCCTTGATTCTGTCAAAATATGTAGTAGAATATATCTAATTTTCTTCTGGACTCAGGTTTTTTTTTTAAAGATCATGGGCATTTAATTTTCTGGGGAGGAAAATAAAACCCCTATTCTGAGAGAACATTTTTTAAAAGCAAAGATAATGGTATGGCTTGCATGATTTGGCTCTTTAGAATAGAATAGAAATAGAATAAATAACTTTGTTGTCCTTTTGAATGGACCCTAATCGGTGTACATTAAAATGAATTTCTGTTGCATACTGCCTTCAAAGTGTCACCACCTCCAATATACACTACATCAACATGATAAAATAAAATGAAGTATATAGCCATATATATTAATGTAAATCTATTACATTTTTTTAAAAAAATATTTATTTTCAGTAAGAAAGGAATTTCAAGTCACGAGCTTCTTAGATTTCAAGTCATCCCAATCGTGGTTCCATAGTTCAGAATCTAATGAAATGAAAACGCTGGCACAAGAGAGGAAATTTATAGGTTTTGTTTAATAAGCACCACAAAAACGATTGTAAAATCAGGTCGATCATGCAATGGACTTTATGACTGTCATCACTAACAAGCTCTTTTACAGTTGTAAATTGTGGTATTTATTTTGATACAGAATCAGATCCTCTCTAATCCTGTGAGCTCACAAGTTTATTTGCAAAAGAATCATGAATGTCTTCCTGAATTAACCTTGAATTAAGGTGAGATTAATCTCAATCTCACCTTAATCAGACACATTTTTAAAGTGGGTGAAAGAAAAAAATATATTTGCTGAGTCAACTCTTTAATAATTTAGGGACTTTCCTTTCCTTTTATGTTTCCATTACTGATGATTTCAAAATCTAAACAACATTTAAAGTTGCCCTACCATCGCCATTATAATCCCTAAATAAGTTTATAAATTGGACAGGGTGAATTTATCTGCACTTGAGATAAAATTTTCAGGTTGCGTGTTGAGTGTGGGAGTTTCTGAGACGCACCCATCTCTACACAAATATTCCTTGCAGGTGGAAAACTAGCTGCTAAGGAAGTGGCTTTCCTCACAAAGCCACATTTCTGCATGCAAGGAGCGGAAACTTGGAAAGGTTCAAATTATGTATAAGATGTTTTACAGATGGCATTTTGCACCAGTGAGGTTGGCAAAGATGTTCAAAGACAAATCAGCGAAGTGTTGGAAATGCCACCAAACACCCGACAAATACTATCATATATGGTGGACATGTGTTGAAGCTAAAAAATGTTGAACAAAAAATATGTTTGTGGTTAGAAAAGATGATACCACAGCGTATTGATTTAAAACCAGAAATATTCCTGTTGGGGATCTTACCTGAAACTTACAGCAAAGAGAATGCATATCTGATTATTCATGCATTCACTGCAGTGAGAATTGTATTTGCTCAAAATTGGAAAGGGGAACATATACCTGCTGAAGAAAATGTGATTAGGAAAATACTAGAATGTGCAGAAATGAATAGATTAACACTTGCAATTAAAGAAAGAGAGCAAATCGAATATTAAAAGATATGGGAATTATTTTACCAATGGTTAGAGAAAAAATATGAAAGCTAAATATAGGTAATGGATTAGTCAAGAATCTTGAAGTATAGTAGATACCTTAATAGAAGTAAATAAACTAAGGAGAAGGGTAGAGGGATAGACACGTTAAGTATATTAAGATAAAATTAGAGAATAATACTAGTGTAATGAATATGACTGTAAATAACAACTGTATTGCACGAGATTGTATTCAGACAACACGACATCAAATGGAAGAAGATACGTTTGTAATAAAAATAAAATTAAAAAAAAATAATTTTAAAAAAGGGGAAAGGATCAAATTTGGGGAGTCCACATGATGAGGGGGACACCCGTTCCAAAAATATTGTTCCCCCATGTGAGAATGTCACTTAGGCCAGAGGTCTCCAACCTTGGCAACTTAAAGCCTAGCAGACTTCAACTCCCAGAAACTGCCAAGGTTGAAGACCCCTGACCTAGGCTATAAATCCAAATTATTTCACATTCTGAAGAAATTCAGAATACAAGCAGGAGCTAACACACAAAAAATTATAGAGCAGAGTCACTATCCAATTCATCTACTGCTGTTTATGAGTACGTAACGAATGGGCCGAGGTTTGCTCTTCCCAGCTACCATTTTGACTTTTTTTTAACCTTTTTTGAACCTGTCATGATAAAACAGAGCAAGACTGGGCCCCTTTCTACCTCAAAACCATGTTTTTTCCCCAGCCTAGAAACCCCCTACAACAGGAGTCTCCAAACTTGGCATCTTTAAGATTTGTGGACTTCAACTCCCAGAATTCCCCAGAAAGCATGGCTGAGGAATTCTGGGAGTTGAAGTCCATGAGTCTTTAATGACTGAGGAATTCTGGGAGTTGAAGTCCACGAGTCTTCAAGCTTTTCTGGCTGAGGAATTCTGGGAGTTGAAGGCCACAAATCCTAAAGTTGCCAAGTTTGGAGACTCCTGCCCTACAAGGACACTTATAAAATTTCATTTTCTGTACAGAAAATGCACCAGAAATAAACGCAGCATTTTAAAGCCTGAAATAGGATGGTAAATAAACACTCAGCTCCTCCACAAAGGAAAATAAAAAACACCTGAGGGGAAAAAGCACTGAGGAAATCTCAGCTCTGTGGCATTTACAATAGGATGAGTTACACAAGCTAATTATCCTAATTACTCTCAAATGATTTTTTTCCCCCCTGGCAGTTCTTTGGGGAACAAAAGGCCTGTCAGGGATGGTTTTTCCATAGTGATGCTTTAGGGCTAATAGCATTTCTCAGTCTTGGCAACTTGTGGACTTCAACTCCCAGAATTCCCCAGCCACCCATGCTGGGTATGGAAGGTCATCCATCTTAAAGAATTCTGGCTGGGGAATTCTGGGAGTTGAAGTCCACCCTCCATCAATTTGGTCAGGTTGAGAAACATTGCTTGAGGCAAGGAGAGGTTACAGACAAGGGACCCAAATTTCTGTGGCTAAGCAAGTTAAGGCATATGCGACCAATTTTACAAGGTGGTGGTTTTTTTTGGCCATGTTGTTAAGTGAATCATGAGGTTGTTAAGCGAATCTTGACTTTGTCAGAAGCCGACTCTCAAGATCACATGACATGGGATGCTTCAACCTTCATAAAGTCACGGCTTTTGACAAGTGCCTAAATTTTGATCGCATGACCACAGGGCTGTTATAATGGTCATAAGTGCAAGAACCAGCCGTAAGTCATTTTTCTCAGTGCTGTGCTGAGTGACTCTGATATCTGGTTATTTTCCATTCCTTTTCCCCCCCCCTCTTTTCCACTCCTCAGATCTGATGACGGAGGATGACATTTATTGCTGCTCTTTATCAAAGACGTTGTGCCATACCTCCACTCCGGTCACCGTGGGTTTCTATTCGCCCAGTGGAACACGTGTTCACTCCCTACTGGACCAAATTGCAGGTCAGCCCCACACCGAGAGACTCAATGGGGAACCCATCTATGCAGAGCCCTTAGTAGAATCTCCTCCTTCTATCCATGGGTCTCTGGGGAGAGAGGAAAGGACCGTTCAGGAATCATCCTGCCAGCCCAAAAGGTTGTATCATTGGCATCACTAAGTAACAACATCAGTGCTAGAAAGGAGGGGAGTTTATGGAGGAGGAGGAGGAGGAGGAGGAGCAGGAGGAGGAGGAGGGGAAAGGAGGAGGAGGAGATAGTGAAAAAGGAGAAGGAGACAGAGGAGGAAAGGAGAAGGGAGGAGGAGAAAGGAGGAGAAGGAGATAGTGAAAAAGGAGAAGGAGACAGAGGAGGAGAAGGAGGACAAGGGAGGAG